GACATTGGATCCAGACTCGACTTTCGAGGGTTCAGACATGGCAACGAGGGACTATTTGGGATTGGTGACCAAGACTTGGTGTTAACGACATTCCCATCTTCTTCCCTCCTTTCGTCTGTTCCTTATCTCTTCGTCTGTGTTTGTCTGGACCTGGCGCTTTCTTCCTGTGTGTAGCGCCAGGCTCCTTCACACTTCGTGATGGATACAATGCATGTTTAGTCTGAGTTCAAACATTGATTGGGCTAGTTAGAGGTACTCTAGCATTCTGCTTCGTTACTCTGAACTACGTAAATGAGGCCAGTCCTGTCAGGTCAGTCTTGTATCAAAGTCTTCCCTGCGCTCTTCAACATCTTTATGTATGAATGAGAATGTACATTGCTTGTCGAGATTCTACTCGTACCGCATTGTCTATTCAGTCCTTTTCATCACATTGCAGATTCTCGGTTTATTACGTACATTGCATATCTGTGCATGTAACATAGCCTCAATGCTGTTGATGCGCGCGAGAGTGGAGTTCAACAGTTGTTGCTGTTGCTGCTGCTGCGTTGTTGCGTCGCGGACGGCAGCTGTTAAAGCGGCCACCTCTTGCTGGTGCTTTTGTCTTTGCTGTCGTTCCGTGAGCAGGTGTGCCTGCAGCAGTTTGTTGTTCCACATTACTCCCCTCATCACGCTCAACATCACGGTAGCCAGGTTACTTCTCTCTGCCTCCGCCTGTGTCGGATCCGCCTGCGCGTCCGTAGGCACAAAGAACATGCCTTGGAGTAGCGTTGTCCACTGATTCTCATTTTGAATCAGGGACTCCGTGCTGGCGGCATTCCGTCTGTCTCGTGCCGCTGCGTCAGCCTCAGCAGTCTGCTGAGCTTGGGCTGCCGCCGTATTGGCCAGCCGCTGACGTTCCGCCTCTGCTGCCTCCTGCTGAGCCTTGGCGGTAGCTACGGCATCTGTGAATACCTGTACCCGCCCAAGGTAGTCAGCCAACGGTTCAAGGGCCCCTTGGACCGGACATGCGGGAAGAACTCCGGTGGTAACCGGTACTGTCAGTGCTGTAATCGATGCCGCTTGAGTCGTCCGCTTGCTGAGCCGCTGTTGCTGATACTTGCTTCGTGGAGGTACCACAGGACGGGTACGAACTGCGAGCCTGGCACTGCGTTGTGGCGGTGCCCCGGTGTCCTGTTCCATCGACATCAGCTCTGCCTGATGTGGTACTTGAGAAATCCCGGTGGTCACAGATTACAGGGAGGGTAGGGAGAGTGGGAACAGGGGTAGAACAATCAAGCACTTCGCATACAGTCCCTGTCCCACTGATGGACTTAAGACACCTAATCAAACAGAAAAATTCGTAATAAGAAAATAATAACGAATTATTTAATCAATAACGTTTAATTAATGATTAATAACGAAATAATAATTCTTAATGAGAATCAATAAAACAATGTTTGCAATAATGATTTCTTAAGGACAATCAATAAAACAATATTTGCAATAATGATAATGAACGAATTTGAATTGTATCAAGATTAGGTATCCGTTGAGATCAATTATGGTCCGGGAGTTCACCGTTAATTAGTGAACTTACCAGGAAATTGCAATTCTGAGGGTCAGATTCGGATTAGTTTGCCAAAAAAAATTTCGGAAAAATCAGAGGAAAAACACTCGAATTTTCAAAAGCGTGAAATTTCGGGAATTCCTACTGGCAAAATCCGATTTTTAAAGGCCTAAGTCCGTTTTCGGAATTTCTCAATCAAGGGAGAGAAAAAAAAAAATTCGCGAAAATTTCGGGGTCCAACCCTAATTTTCCGCGATTCCACGGAATTTCCGGATTTACAGTTCCAAAACGTTCGAATTTCCCAAGTTGATCGAAAACCAAAAATTTTCGTAACCCTAATTTCCCATACTGCAATAAAACGGAAATGCCGATTTAGAAAACGAAATACAGGATTAAAATCAGAATGCTGGATTCTAAAAACGGAAACCGAATTGAAATCCCAATGCCAATTAAACAGAGTACTGATTTAAACCTGATCACGAATTAATAACCAGAAATCCGAATTAAACAGAATGTCGGATTAGTATCAATTTACTGGAACCCAATTAAACATCATACCGGAGTAAAACAGAAATCCGAATTACAAGTCCGAATACCGAATTGAAACGGAAATGCCGAAGTAAACAGAATACCGAAAAAAGAAAAAAATTTTGCAACTTTGAAAACTCGATAGTAATACAGAGCTGATTTGGAAGATTGAAGAAGCAATCTAATTCCTAAATCAGACTTACCTGGTGAGCAGATCCGTGAAATGGTCTGCTCCGATACCAAAACTGTTACATACTCGGGATTTTACTCACGAGTATGGGGCAGAACCAAAGATCAACCAATATAGGATGAGTATGTACGCAACGGACGTCTGATAAACGGACTGACTCACATAGACTGACTCACATAGATATCACTCCACACACATACAATCGTGAGATGGTGGGGTCTGAGCCATGCATAGACGATGCTCAGCCCCGTACACACAYACACAGATGAAAGTGGGAGGAGAGACGAAGGAGGTGGGAGATGTAGGTAGCACCAGATGTCACCGAGATAGAAACCAGTAGGTCACCGATATGGTAATCCAAAATGTCATCGAACAAGATCAAATGTCGCGGACAATAAGTCACCAATGTCGGAGATACAGAGTCCTAATGTAACCGGTGTCCAATCTGTGATGCAGCCGAGTATCATCCCCAACAATCTCCAAGTCTCGAACCCGGTAAGTACCACAGCCTCTTACCACCGAAGTCCAACTCTGATCTCTGATCTCTGTCCAACTAGTATAAGTCTCCAGTCTGAAGAAGAAGAAGAAGAAGAAGAAGAAGAAGAAGAAGATGAGGTCTGAAGAAGAAGGAGAAGAAGAAGGGAGTCGAGGAGGAGAGAGAGAGAGAGGGGACTGGCGACGGGAGGGAGGAGAGAACCCCCGGCTCCCGATACCTCAGGCGGCTATGGCCGCCGATCTGCTCAGTCGCCGCTGCTGCTGCTCCGCTCGCTGCCGCTGCTGCGATACTGCTGCTGCCACTGCTCCTCGTGCTCCTGCGCTAAGAATAGCGCCAGCGCTCTGGCGCTATACCATAACAGACCGCTAGAGTGCCGGTGGTTCGATCCCTCAGAATGAGGCCGGACTGGTCTTTTGTACCGGTGGGGCAGAGGCCGGCCTCAATGCTGCGAGGCCTGGCTGTGCCCTGAACCGTCGAGATTGACGGTTCAGCCCCAACCGGCGGGCGGCAGCCTCAAGAGCGCGCCAGGCCCAAACGGTAATGTCGTTTGGGCCTGCCCGTCGGGTCTGGTCCAAGATGTGGCCTTTACGGCCTGCTGTACCCCACGTCCGGGCCTTTAGGCCCTACTGTGTCCTCCTGGCCCTAAGTCGGGTCCGGTAGGACCCGTGTGGCATCGAAGATGTAACACACAGAGAGAGAGAGAGAGAGAGAGAGAGAGAGAGAGAGAGAGAGAGAGAGAGAGAGAGAGAGAGAGAGAGAGGCTGGATATAAAGAAAGGGTAGTGCCACCCACCACCTGAATGGTACACGCGCGAAACTGTATATAAAGTTATAAACGGGTTACGAGTTTGCATCCTAACCCCCAGAGGCTAGGTAATCACTAATTTCTGGCCTGGGATCCGCCCGTGCACGCACGAAATTGAACCGTCACCCGTAGCCACAAGAGCCAAGGCCTCTTAGGCGTAGCCATGACATTGTGTAACAAACCGGAACCATACAGGTTACGATATACACCTCACGCCGGCATGGCTTTACTATCCTTACACACACACACAGTCCATGGCTGAGTGGGTGTGTAGAGTGGGTTTTATGGCTGTGTCCAACTATGGTTTCTCAGCCGTTCTCGTCTGGGGTTTGGACTGACAGTCTGCTAGGGTTGCACAGATGGCGTGTGTAAAGTCTACCACTTTTTTTTTTTTTTTTTTTTT